CAACAACTTCTTTTACTCTCTTATTTATACGTCTAAAGTCTGCCTTTTTTCTTTCAATCTCATCATTCATACCGCCAGAATTACCAGCTTTAGTTGCTAGTAAATCTAGCCATGCACTCTTCTTTGCTTCAACTTCCAACCGTCCTCATCATCCCACCACAACGTATTAATTTTCCTTTCATTCGTTCTCTTACTTACACCACATACTTCAGTGGCTATATCCACCAAAACTTTCTTAATATTATTTCATACTTTATTCAAGTCTAAATCATTCATACATAATTCATTCAACCCACTTATATTTTCCATCAGTCTGCATTTATACTTCTCTTTCACACCTTCATCTTGTAACCTCTCTATTCTTATACGCTGTAACGCAGTGGTAGACACAGATGTCCTATGCCGCCAACGTCTGAATAGACCATTAATTTGGCATAAGACCAAGTAAAAAAAAACAGTCCACCTGATGGAAAGTATATGCTGTGGCCATAGACCGGTAAACCCTTATATCTACCACTCCGCTCCTCATTCTTTCATCCACAATTATGAAATCTATCATGCTTCTATCATCCCCTCTTTCCCATGTATACATGTGAATCCTCTTATGGCGAAAGAAAGTGTTCGTCACAAAAAGATTCTTTTCCACACATACGGTGAGGAGATCTTCACCATTCTCATTTATTCTTTCATCGCCAAATGTTCCTAATATCCTTTCATAACCAGACCTATTCACCCCAACCTTTCCATTAAAATCTCCTAACATAATAATATTTTCATTTTCTTTACATTTCATCAACACCAGCCTTACCATGTCCCAAAACTGCTCTCGGATATAAGTGGGCTTAGACATATCTGGAGCTTACACCCCTAGCACAAACAACTTCTTTAAACCCACTTTCATTCGTATCCACAGCAGCCTTGGGCTTACACATTCATGCTCTTTCACACATTGACCCATTCTTTCTGAAAGGATGACACCGACTCCCTGGCATGCCCGCTCGGTCTCGTCTACTCCAAACCAGTAAGCGGTATACATGCCATATGCAGTGACATCTCTTCCCTTTTGTTTCGTCTCGTTTACACATAACACATCTTATCATTCATTGCTCCACATACATTCAGCGTAGCCAAAAGGGGCTCCGCAATCCACTTTTCGCCCCTGCGGGAGACAGGACGTGACGGGTGGCGAACCTCGTCGCCGGTTTTTCTCCCGGAAATTCTTCGCACCCCTCCCCATTAAAGGGGCGCCGGGAACTCGAGGCCATTTCTTTTTCTTCTTGGCTCATGGTGCGAAACTAAGGGGTCGTAGATTTTACGCCGCTACCATACGGCGAGGAACTGAGTCTATCCTGTCGGCTTTGTCGGCTTTGTCGCTCGTTTAGCACCACCCGGGAGACACGTGTAGGGTGGGCCTTGGATTAGGTGGTCGGAGCCTACGGACGCGAGCGACTCATCCCCGACCTATCATATTTTTCTTATATAAAATATGTATTTAATCATATTATTATAGCGTCTAATGGACCTAGTGACGTCATTCAAGATGTTACGTGACGTTATTCATGACTTAAAAAGTTTATATGACTTTTTTGGTATGACGGGCGTCATAATAAATAGATTTATACAATAAAAATCATGCATATTCCCTATTATTATATCGTAAAGCATTACAAACTTAGTAACCTTCAACAACATTATCGACACTTTGATATCGAAACGCTAACATTCCTAAAACGGGTTTTGACAACGTGATGGCTGACGTGAAGAAAACACTGGACGACCTCAAACTTGGGGATGGAATTACAGCTTCCATGGTAGCTACAACACCTTCGCTACGTGGATTCAAAGTGCCGCCGTTCGACGGGACTTAATCCTGGTCGGCCTACAAAATCCAGTTCGAGGCTGTCATAAAGGCGAACGGCTGGAATAAAAGTCAGGCAATGACTGCTCTTACTCTAGGCCTGGGCGACCAGGCCTTAACTGTTCTGGAAGCCCTCGGTAAGAAAGTGACTTACGAGCAGCTCCTTGAGGCATTGGAGGTGAAATATGGCGACACTCACCTGGAACACGTCTTTCGTGCGCAGCTCAAAGATCGCGTGCAACACAGCAATGAAAACCTGCAGCAGTGGGCCCTTCAGGTGGAAACGCTGGTTCGAAAAGCATACCAGTCTGTACCTGCGCTCATTGTAGAGAGCTCAGAGCTGCTGTGAGGCTCGAGCATCACGAGACGCTTAAGGACGCGTTGGCCCATGCACTGGAGGTAGAAGCCGTGCAGCAGGATCATCGTTCCTATCACATCAGGAAGGTTTCAGCAGCTACAGTTCGCGACCACAATAAAGGATACAACCCTAGCTGCTACGGCTGTGGGGAAAGGGGCCATCTTCGATCCAGCTGCCCTAAGCAAACTGTAGAAAGGGGAGGTGATCGGGCCCATGCCCTGGAGGTAGAAACCGTGCAGCAGGATCATCGTTCCTATCACATCAGGAAGGTTTCAGCAGCTACAGTTCGCGACCGCAATAAAGGATACAACCCTAGCTGCTACGGCTGTGGGGAACCCTAGCTGCCCTAAGCAAACTGTAGAAATGGGAGGTGATCGATCTCGAAAGGGTAGTGCGGCTAACAGCACCGCCCAGCAGCTGCAGGGAAACGGGTAAAAGCCAGGAGCGTCTTGCACGGTTGTCAGTTCCCAATTTATGAGTCAGTTCTTTTGTGGACTACGTATACAATCTAGAACGCAAAATTTTTGGTGACAGCCACCGGTCAGCGCATACCCGTCTGTGGAGTTGAAGCTAGGAAACATGATCTACCTGCATAATATCATAGTGGCTGATATAATGGACGACTGCATCCTGGGCCTAGACTTTATGAGAAAAGGTTGTTGTGAGATCGACGTTAAGCAAGGTGTTTTGAAATGTGGACAAGACAAACTTTTCCTCGAAGAGGCGTTACCAGGGAATGTGTACAGCCTTAAGAAGATTGTTCTGCCGCCAGGATCTGAAACGATTGTGCTGGTTAGTCTTCCTCGGAATCCTGGGCTAGCACATCGTTGTGTACTCCTGGAAAGGGTAGACAATGACCTTCTATGGAAAGTGGCTCGAAACTTGGTCAGAACCACCGACATCTCAGGAGTACGTGTGCTGAATCTTTGTGATCAGGAACAGAATATAGAGAAAGGCACATAGGTTGGTACTTGTGAGGAAGTGGATTGGTTGCGTCGGTGTCAATATCTATCGACTGAGAACCCCAGCAAGGATGCAAAAACGAGAGTGACCACACTTTTAGAAGACTGTCGCAGCGTTCTCTCCCCGAATGAAATGGTCAATGCGAAGAAGCTGTCACTCAAGTACGCCGATGTTTTCTCGTCAAACGATGCTGACATAGGAAAGACTGGTTTAGTTCAATACAAAATAAACACAGGGGAAGAATTGCCTATCCATCAGCGGCCAAGAAGATTGCCGTTAGCACGTAAAAGGAAGTGGAAACCATGATTGAGGGAATGGTGAAGGATGGTGTTATTGAACCTTCATCTAGTCTATGATGTTCACCTGTGATGCTGATAAAGAAGAAGAACGGCAGCATGCAGTTTTGTTTTGACTACCGCCGTCTGAACGACGTTACGAAGAAGGACAGCTATCCCTTGTCAAGAATTGATGACACACTGAACATGCTTGCAGGAGTAAAGTGGTTTAGCACACTGGACCTGAAGAGTGGCCACTGGCAGGTTGATATTGACCCTAAGGACAAGGAGAAAACTGCATTCTCGACAGGAGAGAAACTGTGGCAATTTAAAGTTATGCCGTTTGGATCGTGCAATGCTCCAGCAACGTTTGAAAGGTTGATGGACCTTTTACTTACCGGGCTAATTGGCGATGCCTTTCTGATCTACTTGGATAACATCATCATCGTAGGCCGTACGTTTGAGGACACCTTCAAAACCTGGAACGCGTGCTCATGAAGATCAAAAGTGCCAACCTCAAGTTGAGTCCGAAGAAATGTTTACTATTCAAACGGAAAATTAGATTTTTGGGGTATGTAGTGTCGGAAGAAGGTATCCGCACGGATCCAGAGCAAAATTGCCGCTTTCAAGGATTGGCCGGTGCCAAAAGACAAGACAGCATTTTTGGGTTTGTGCTCCTATTATCGGCGATTTGTGAAGAACTTTGCAGATATAGGCAAACCTCTGCACAAGCTAACCGAGGAGAAGCGACATTTCTTCTGGGATGTAAGTTGCGATATCGCATTCCAAGAGCTCAAGGACCGTCTGTAAATACCCATTTTGGGATACCCTGATGTGGGCAAGGAATTTATAGTTGACACAGACGCAAGTGATATAGGACTTGGCGGTGTGTTGTCTCAACGGAATGGTGATCAAGAGGTTGTAAAAGCGTACTTCAGCAAGTCGTTGTTAAAGCCGGAAAGGAAATATTGTGTCACAAGACGGGAATTGCTTGCTGTGGTAAAGTCAATGCAGCATTTTAGCAAATATCTTCTGGGGCGGAAATTTTATATACGAACTGACCATGCTGCACTGAAATGGCTATTGCAAAGTTGTGAGATGGATTGAATTAACACAGATACCACTTAATTGAATTATTAAGTGGTATCTGTGTGGATGCTCAGGACAGACCAGCTTAGCAATGAGTGGAAGGACAGCCTACAACATGCACAGCAGGAAGATTCGGACATCAAGCCGATTCTGGAATGGATGAAGGCCAGTGATCCTAAACTTCTCAGCGATGAGTTCGACCACGAAAACCTATTGGGCCCAATGGGACAGCTTGCTGATTCAGGATGGAGTCCTGTGTCGTAAATGGGAAAATGGACGGGGAGACAGTTGCCATTTGCAAATGGTTGTCCCTAAAGCTAAAAGTACCGGATTTTCTACAGCTGTACCATAATGGTTGTTCAGGAGGTCATCTGGGAGTTAAACGAACTCTACTGAAGATCTGAGAACGATTTTACTGGGTCCACTGTCGTGACGATGTCGAGGACTGGTGTCGCAAATGTACAAGTTGTGCGGCTGGAATGCTGAATGGGAAAGGATAGCCCTTGACGTTGCGGGGCCGTTTCCGGAAAGTGATAGCGGTAACAAATATTTCATGAAAGTGATGGATTACTTCACTAAGTGGTCAGAAGTGTTCGCCATTCGAAATCAAGAAGCTTCAACAGTTGCAGATGAACTAGTTCATGAAGCCTTTTGTCGTTTTGGAGTACCTTTAGAAAAAAAGTTTTGACTCTCAAATATTCCAGGAAACTTGCCAAGCCAAAAAAAACTTCTTACCACTCACAATCTGATGGAATGGTAGAACGATTTAATCATTGGAGACACACACATTGGAGAGGTACCTAGCAAAAGTTGTAGAAAATCGGCAACGGGACTAGGACAAGCACATACAACCGTTTTTGTTGTCATACCGAAGCGCTGTTCACGGAAGTACATCCGTTACACCAGCTTTTGCAAACTTTGGAAGAGAATTACCGCTGTCTGCAGACCTGATCACCGGAATACCATCTGATGCCCCACGCAGTATAACCGAATATGCAAATGACTTGCGGAACAAAATAAATGACATTTATGAGCACGTCAGACAATCGGGCCAGCAAATGTCTGAAAAGATATGACGGTATGACCACAAAATGAACAACATAGGGTTCTACGAATGTTCACTAGTGTATGGTTACACAATCCAGTTCGCAGCAAAGGGAAATCTCCTAAGCTTCAAGCTAAATGAGACGGGCCGTACCGGATTGTGACAACGATCAATGACGTAAACTACCGGATACAGAAACATGCAAGAGGTACTCCGAAGATCGTCCATGTGGATCGACTGGCACGTTATTATGGGGCTTGGGACGAGCATGTCTTAGGAAGGGGCAGTGTTGACACTAGTTACCACTAGCGCCCTCTAGCATCGAGTAGCAGAACTAGGAGATTCAAGAACATTCTAGAAATTTCCATGGAAGAACTTTCTAGAACTATCAACACCACCATTCTAGAACTGTCAATCGGGACCGATATATACTCAAACATTCTAGAAGTTTCTACAGTAGAAGGTTTTGGAAACTACATGAGGCCCTATCCCTATATGAGGCCGGTATAGACCGCGACCGGGGCAGTATTGAATTAGCGATACAAGCGAATAGTTCGAAGCGACACAACTGCGAAATAAAATGAGCAGTAGTACAATTGTGTTTTATTATTAGTGTGGTTTTAAGTTGTAATTAGTGTCAATTTTGGTAATGCAATCGGTAGTTTTTAATTGTCTCGATCCCCAAGCTCAATATAGTATCTTAACCCTCAGAAAAGACGTTTTAATAAACGTTTATTAAAGTTGATAAACATATAAATTATCTTTCTTAAAAGGTAAAAGTACAAGGTAACAATGAATAGCAATTTCCTTTTTTTTAATAGAAAGTTCAATTAGAAACTTCAAAGAGAAGAGTGAACATGTAACTTTGCTTAAAACTTAGTCACAAATCATTTCTTTGCAAATCTTATTTGATCACGAATTGGTGCCAAGATAAATAGCCTTGCCACATATTTCTTATTCTGTGTGATTATATTCGATGAACTCAGTATCTCGAGGGAAATTAACACTATCATGTATCTATGTTATTTAAAAAATATTTGATAAACATCAGAACTGTAGTCAAAAACTTTTGGGCTCTTTAGCACTTAACTAATGTTAATTTTACAAAACATGAGCTCGTTCATCACAGTCACTTATATCATCATCACCATTATCATACATCATACAAGACTTCTAAAGGACTGTGAGGCCTATGCCTCACCCAACGAATGCCACAAAGCACGTCCTAAGCCACCTGCATCATTATTATTATTATTAATCACTTAAATTAAAAATAAATCATTCCGTTTATACAAATGTACGATTTTTCACAATTATTTTCGATATTAATCTATAACTTTTACTATATTTTTGTGAGGACAATGAAGAGCTTAAAACATCAAAGTACAAAGCTTTCTGAAGCCATTTTCATTTTGAAACATCATATTGGCGGGAAGTAATCATTGTTGCCGGAAAGCTACCGAATAATTACAAAAGTTTCTTCGCTTTGTGAGCCTTGAAAGATATTGCGTCTCTCCACTATTAAGTTGTTAGTTGAAGTTAAAGGAAATTTTCATTTAGTGGAAATCTTCCTTAGCGAAGGCGAACAGTTGACTGAATAAAGACAAAGTTATTAAATATGCCCCTATTATAAGTAGTAGAGAGTAGCTCGGCTACAAACTACGTGTCGATGAAACACATTATTTGTTACGCATACATTAATGAATTAAAAAGCACTGATTTTCATATAACGTGATGAGAATCGGTACTATTTTTAAGGACTTTATAGCGTTTAAATTATTTTTGTTCTTCCGACCTCTCGAACAATCAGTTAAATTTCGGGAGCGGTGCTATAGATTTTAAAAACTATGTCTTGATTAATTATTAATTATGTCTTAATGACATTACTATTTCAGTACAAAACGAATTAAAACTAATTCATTGCAAAACTGACTTCCTTAACTAGGTGATTACATTACTACGATGATGACTGAAATGAATATAATTAAATGGTTAAACAAACTTACCTTAAGTGAAGTTCAACCATAATTGTACGAAGCTCCTTGTCCGAGACGTTCTTTACAACTTGTAATAATGTATGTAATAAATATGGCGATTTCATGCCAGTACATCACAGTTATCCAAGCTCCTAAAAAAATTTTGGAACGGCAGAACGTATGTACATCACTATATCCACCCGTCCGTCAAATGCAATGTCATTATGTTTAAAGTTAGGGATTAGATGAACAACCCTAACCCAGGGAGGGTTAGGCTGGGAGCACCATCTCGGACAAGGAGTTTCGTATAATTATGATTGAACTTCACTTAAGGTAAGTTCGTTTAACCATTTAATAATTATACTCTCTCCTTGCCCGAGACGTTATTTACAACTTGTGGACGTTTAAAAACATGGTTGCGAATTATAATATCAATGAATGGAAAAATTTGCAACTTTCCTTAGTTTATAAAAAAATTTGAAGGTATTATATGTATATAATATATGTTTGATTTATTAACGTAAAATAAATTATCTTTATTATATAACATTTTCTTATACACGTAAGGCCATCTTGATAGCAGCAGAAGTGACCAGTAAAAGAACTATGATTGCGAAAAAACACAATAATCTGAAATATCTCATCATCATCATCATTACAGCCCTTCACAAGTCCACTGCTGAACATAGGCCTCCCCCAAAGAATGCCACAAAGCACGGTCCTGAGCCACCTGCAGCCATCCATTTCCTGCATGTCTTACCAGGTCGTCACTCCATCTCGTGGGGGGACGCCCTACACTTCGCCTACCGGTACGAGGCTGCCACTCGAGAACATTTCTTCCCCATCGGTTGTCGGTTCTTCGAGCTATATGGCCGGCCCACTGCCACTTCAGCTTACTAATCCGTTGGGCTATGTCGGCTATTCTGGTTCTACTGCGGATATCCTCATTCCTAAGTTTATCACGCAGAGAAACTCCGAGCATAGCCCTCTCCATAGCTCGCTGAGCGACCTTGAGCTTCCTCATACGGCCAGCAGTGAAGGACCACGTCTCAGTTCCGTAAGTCATCACTGGCAACACGCACTGGTTGTACAATTTCGTTTTAAGGTTTTGAGGTATGTCTGATGAGAAGATGTGTCGTAGCTTCCCGAACGCTGCCCAGTTTAATTTAAGTAAATTTTAATTTAACATCTTACAACTTGAGAAATGCTTTTCTAAATGGGAGTTTTTGAGTTAATGTTAAATTTATCAATATCTTGTCTTGCTTTCTATTAAATATTCAAAACTTCTCTCATATATTTTTACCCATGCAATCGCTGTTGAAGTGAAATTCTACCTTACATCTTAACTATACCTCTGAACTCCACTTGGGATAAATTTAATATTTATGAAGGACAATATTTAATAAATTTTATGACCTGTAACTCATCACAGCTAAACTTGTTACTGGTGTGTTTTGAAAATTTTTGTAATCTCAAATCTTTATTGCGATATTTTGATGTTAAATAATCTAAAACTGACTTATTATAAGTCTATGTTTATAACAAAAACCTAAGTAAAAATCACAAAAGCCCAGTGAGGAATTACATTACACTTACTGCAAAATTGGTAGTATAAAGAAATAATAATTTTATAATTTATAGTTTTTGACAAAGGAGAGTTCACTATAATATTTAAGTATGAATTTTGGAGTGCCATACTTTTACAAAATGCTTTACTAATAATACCTATGATATGTGTGAGATGCCTATGAGATGATAATAACATATGAAATAGTAGTGTATGGTTCTCTGTAAAGTGGTGTCAATAATTTGTTATTTTATTCAAAATGAATAATTCGAATCTTTAATTTAACATGCCTTTGCACTTTATTCACATTTACCGCCCACCCAGTCTGACACCCATGCGGATTTTTGTAATGGGTTGACCAAATGGAAAGAAATTAGAAAACATAAATAAGATCAATTACAGATGAGGCATAAAGCCATCCCTTTTATTATTAGTATATTCGTAACAATGTATGCTAGGATTAGACCTGAATAGAATATGACGACTTGGAATATTATAGCGTTTTCTTGACAAATTAATATCTTTTGTTACAGATCCTTCAAAGAGAAAATTACATGGCGACCCTGTATTTATAAATATGTGAGAGATAATGTCCTAACATACCCGTGCTTAATATAACATGGTCCTATCCTTCCCATGCTCAATATAACTTCGTCCTAAACTACTCCGTGCTTATATTCGTTCTAACTTAGTACCTGATATATCATCATCCTAACCTGCGCTCAAATAGCGTCGTCCTAAGTAGTAGAATATTACTACTTCTATTCGAACTCAAGACCTCGTGATCACTAAATGCTTTGATTTATTACTTTTTACTTCAAAAATCGTTGAGGTTATCAATTTGATTGTATGTTACATGATATCGTCGAGGTTAGTACTTAACTAATCGATTTTAACTATTTTTATTTACCGATATTATACCTTTTACTGTGTCCATTTATATATCAACCAGATCGTTTGAAGTTATTTCATATTTTTATAGACCTAATACAATTATGCGTAGTGTAAATACTTTTATACGTGGTAGAGCCATGTTGCAGCTATATAAGTAATATAGCCGTAGCAAGGATGTGTTGGCTCGACCAGACTCTCCCAGAATA